ATCACACTCAGGACCCTTTGGTGCATAGAATGACACTCTAAGAACTGAGCCACACCAACCAGGGCTGGAACTTCATTTTTAAAAATAATAGTCATCTCTCCAGGTCAATGGATATATCCATGTGTTCTTTTACACACACACACACACACACACACACACACACATTTAGATCCTAGAATCAAGTACTGAATAACTTGGACTAGAAATTGGGCCATATTAACTCACTTTTTAACATACAATTTAAAGTCAATTTTACCAAGTCTATTTTTTAAATGTAAGAGATGTAAGATATGGCATTTTGAAATGTCTTTTAAAAAGCCATATGTGCAATTTTATTGAAGTCTGTACATTTTAAAAAGCAGGAGTTTAATTTTTTAAGTAAATAAAGTGTGCCTCTTTCATATAAAAATAAATAAATTGTGCCACAAAATATTCATTGTAGACACAACATTGTATAAAGATTAAAACTGTTGCAATAGTACTGGCCAGTGTGGCTCAGTTGGTTGAACATTGTCTTGAGCAGCAAAAGATTATGGATTTAATTTCCAGTAAGGACACATGCCCAGGTTGTGGGCTTGGTCCCGAGTTAGGGGCATGCAGGAGACAGCTGATCAATGTTTCTCTCTCTTCTTATTCCTTCATCTCCCTCTAAAAATCCATTTTAAAAACTATTGATAGAGATTAAAATGGTTTATTAACATAAAACAAGAGAGGCAATCTACAAAATCCAAAAAAATTTCCTAATCACATACTTTAACTCACAATTTCTGTATTGACACTAACAAGGTATTTCTCTAATTCAAGACTTGGCATGACAATAAGGCACACTTAAAGAAAATGTTTAAGTTTTTCTTTCTACTCTTCTTAGATTTTTTTTTTTTAATTTGGAAATATTGGGGGACCAGACGGGCAAGTCCAACTCAAGGAGAGGGACTTCCACTGGTGCTCAGGCCGCACCAACCTTTTATTGATGTGGGATACACCCATAGCATAGCCCTTAGGCAGGCAAGTTCCAGTAACACACAGATTAGCTCATCAGCAGACAATTTCCAGTAATAGGCAGACTATCTAATCAACAAGGATTTACATGAGTTAAGGTGGGGAGAATGCTTCAGCTACCATTATCTAGATTAACTGGGTAGTGCACAGCTCCGACCTTTGCTAGGGCTTCAAAGGTCACCAGTTTTTGGGGGTCTCTGTCTATGCTCAGCTAGTGAAGACAACAGGTGGTCTCCAACAAAATTCTCCCCCATCTTCTGATTTTTCAAACTTCTTTTATTTTACAGGCTCTTCAAATTCCATTTGAGTTCAGCTTCTTCATCATTCATTTTAGATGTGCTAGGGCACTCTGAAAAATGCCTTACTCTAGAAGGCCCTGCCCTTTCTGAAGCACAGATGGAATTTGAACGCCAAAGACCTTTATTGGCCTCAGGAGACTCAAGGAAAGCCTCCCATCCTTTCAGCCTTTCCTCCCTTTCTCTTGTGGTCTCCTCTACCTAATAATCTGTAGTTCCATCCCATACTTGGCTAGTGATTTGATGACCGCTTAAACCACCGTCCATCCAGAGTTTGAATACAATAATCAGCTTTCTCTGGTTCCCTGAAGGACACAGAAGCCACACCATCTGGGTGTCTATCAAATAGAAGAAGCTTCCTAATTTGTCCAAACTTCGAACACTCTACTCAAAGATCTCTGATCTCATTTAGCACCAACGGATCATCCTCAAAATCCATAGGATGAAACATATTTTTGATGATGACAACTCGTTCATGGGGCATTCAGATTGACCCATCCTTTCTCTCAAGTCTCCAATCCAATTGCTTTTGTTGCTGAGATAGCTTTTTCTTGTAATCCTTGCACTTCTTCTTCTTCTTAGAGGCATCATATTCTCTCTTCAGTTGAAACTTTGCCACCTGCACATGTAATCTGTAACCTCTAATTTCATTTTCATCCAAAAGTTTTAATGCAAGATCCACAGACTCCCTCTTCAAATAACAGAAAAGCCCATCTCCTTTAAGATTCCCTTGATTATCTTTGTAAAGCTTGACCTTAAATTCTTCTGTTTGAGGATCTCTCATAATAATGCCAAACTTGGACATGAGTTGTATAAATTCATCCAGTGTAATGTCTGGAGGCAAACCAGACACATATACATTTGTATTTCTGCCTTCTTCAACCTCCATCGTGGGTGTCTCCGTACAATTTTTGCAATCACAACTGCTCGTCAAAGTCGTCTTTCTTATCCAAGTTGTTGTGGCTCATGTTGCCGACTTAGCCCAGGGGAATAGCCACGTTGGGCGCCAGAAGTTGGGGTCCAACCCCAGCAGGTCCAGGGGTCCCCAAAGGTGTGGACAGAGTCAGCGAAGAAGGAATGACACAGAGACAGCCTTCAGTTGATCAGCAGCCTAGCCAGGATCTCCAGCCAAGTTCTGTGTCTTAGATTCTATTACAACTTGAGTGCTTGAGTGTTGTTGAATAATAAAATTCAGAAAATTATAAAAATAAAAATTGTAGCCTTGTTTCCAAAATTGTAGCCAAATATTTTACACATGCATACAAACTAAGAGTTTAGTTGTCAAACATTTGTACTTTTATTTGTATATCTCTCATTTGATCATTGTATAATTAAAATTTTAATATTCTCCCCAAATTTCTCTTAGGGTAAAAACATACCATTTATTATATAATATTAATTAAGGTTCTACTTTGTGCTAATTCATTTTCTAGGTGGTGGGTGGAGCAAACTATTTCATTGAATTCGAGGCCAGAGAAACCACATGTTCCAAGGAAAGTAATAAAGAGTTGACTGAAAGTTGTGAGATCAATAAAGTTGGAGTGAGTAGTCATGCAACTCTCTACTTATTCCCTGGATATCTATTTGATATTTTATACATGTTTAAATATTTCATGACTAACACTGTTCTCTATTTTGGCTTTTGTTTTCATGGATAGGAAATTCTAAGATGCACTGCTGATGTTTATGTGGTACCTTGGGAGAATAAAATTGAGTCTACTGTCAAATGTCAATCACCAGGAAAGGTATGTTTCT